TAGATAGTTGATTAAAATTTTGTGAATATGACATAATAATTCGTCTCTACTTCAATTTTTTCTTATCAATACTGTGCTATAGAACCATATATGAACTTTATGTTGAGAATAATCAATGAACATATGCAATCTTCCTAAAGTTTATATATTTGATAAATCTCTTTCATTTGTCTTCAGAAAACTAGAACTCGTTTGTGTCATCCCTGACTTTGCAGTAAGCGTCACTGTTACATTTGCCGTAAAATTATTGATATTTACTCCTTTATTTTCTTCTCTCGTCTAATTAACAGCATTGTGTTCAATTTAAGAATTTTATGCAAAATATCCCAAACAAGTATTATTTGTCGTATTTGTCTGATTTTATACTTGTCGTATCATTTGATTTGAGAAAAAGTAACTAATGCAAACTTTTACTGGTGCTCCGAAAAACCACTTGTCAATTGTTTATAAAAACAAATTTAATTTTTCTTGTCGAAAAGTCATCCACGTGTATTTTCAAAAGAGCTATAAGAAGTGCATATTTCACATCTTTGTCTTTCAACAAAATGCTAAAGATTAACACTAACGCCCACATGACAAATTCTTTATTTCTTTGACGTTGAAAGCCTTTTTACCAACATACCACTGACCGAAACCATAGACATTGCTATTGATTAAATTTTACCAACAACCCTACATTCAAAATGAGCAGAACAGAACTAAAACTATTGTTTAACATCACTACGGCCGAGACTCATTTTTATTTAACGGTAAGTACTACGACCAAATTGACGGGTAAGTGGGGCTCACCTTTGGCACCCATTCTAGCCAACATTTTCATGGGTTTTCACGAACGAAACTGGTTAAATAACTACAGCAAACAACAAACCTTTATTTTACCGCAGATACGTTGACGACATTTTTGTATTTTTCATAACAAAGACGAAGCATTACTTTTACGAATACATCAACAAACAACATCAAAGCATAAACTTTACATACGAAACCGAACAAGACAATCAGTTACCCTTTCTTGACATCTTACTAACTAAATCACATGAAAACTGTATGACCTCTACGTACCACAAACCAACATATACAGGACTACTGACTAACTTTTTAGTTTCACACCATTAAATTACAAAATTGGACTGATACGAACACTGACCGACAGAGCACGGAAACTTAACAACAGACATCGGCTTTCAACGTGATCTAAAGAAACTAATATTCACTCTCAACATAATTCTTTTCCTTTCATTTCATCAACAACACTATACAACACTATTTGGACAACAAGAAAAGCCCTGACTCATCTAACTCCACAACTAACACTAACGATATACAACAACCTGACAATAAACGTTATTTCAAACTACCTTACATAGGTGATTACTCACGACACACACAACGCAAACTCACACAAATCATTAAACGCTACTGCACTGACATTGACGTTAAACTTATTTTCACACCTTTAAAATAAAATCTTTATTTTCGTTTAAAGACCCACTTCCCGAACTTTCCAAATCTATGGTAGTTTATCAATTTTCATGTGCGGGATGTAATTCCTGCTATATTGGTGAAACTGCTCGCCAATTATCTATCAGGATAAAGGAACATACTCACACAGACAAAAACTCCACTATCTACAAACATCTTCAAGCCTCTCC